TTGGGGGGGGGGGGGAGAGGAGAGCGGATAGAAATGTCCAGACATGGTACTACATATGCAGATTCTTTTAACTCTGCTCCTTAAGAGAGGTGAGCAGGTCATTGGGAAAGGTCACTTTATTGCCTTGCTGGTAGGTTTCAAACTCTTGGCTAAGTGCTATACAGCTGGAAAGCTGAGGTAGATCAGCATTTGCAAGTCTCCCCTTGAGAATCCTGCTCACTTCAGGGCCTTCAGAACAAGGTAGTGCTGCCTGGTTTTGTGCTAACTTGCCTCTAGTTGTAAAGCTGCTTCTACTTTTTGGTTCTTCTGGAGCTTCCTCTTAATTGTTCCTCATTAGAATAAACATCTTGTTTTGCTTTCCCCCATCTCATCAGCAATGGATCCTCTGCATCTGCCTCCAACCCCTCCCAGCAGCCATGGCAGTGACTCTGAGGGGGGACAGAGCCCAACTAGGTCCCTCCCACCTTCAAGCCCTGTCCAATTACAAGCCACAGCTAAAGTGACATCACGCATGGCTTCAGCACTCTCTAATTCGCCTCTCCTGACAGCACCACATGTAAGTTTGGTGACTTTTATCCAATTGTTTTTTTTATTGTTACCTGGTATTATACTTTTTCTGTACTTTCAGTTTGTTGTTATCTCTTTGGGAAACTCCAAATTCAGTAGCTGGGCTTTGGCTTCCCCATTCATTGTCTGGAGCAGGAGTCTGCAGTGAAAAGATATGTCTTATGTAACAAGCCTTTCCTTTATACCTTGCTGCAGCTATTAGTAGACCCCTAAACAGCCAAACACATGTGCTTTATATGCGTAGGTATCCACATTCATGGCTCACTTTTGCAGATGTGAGTACAAATTTTCTCTCTAGAACCCTGCAAATTTGTGGATATTCAGTCTGACATCTGCAGATGTGGGTACCTGCAGGTATAATGCAGATATCTGTGGCTCATTTTTGCAAATGCAGATGTAAATGCAGATGTAGATGCAGATACCAATTTTGTGTGCATGCAGGGCTCTGGCTATTAGTACGTTCTGATAGATTGACACATGCAGTTACCTGTGTCGTAGTGGATGTCTTGCCGCTTTATCTTTAGACAGTAGGTGATCAACTCTAGCATGGGATTTTCCTAAGTACCCCTCATTGCTCAGTTCTCAGACTGTGGATTGGGACCCTAAGAATGTCACAGCCCCATTTTAATGGGTCCACTATGGCTGGCATTAGACATGGTGTGGCCTGGGGTCCAAGCCCAACCCCACTCCCGCGGGCTTCAGTCCTGGGTAATCGGGCTCATGTGACAAGCCTTTTGCCAGGGACGAAAGCCCCTGGGTTATGAATTTGCCTCCCCTGCGCGGGACGATGTAGTTTGGATTTTGGCCCCTGCACTCAGGCAGTCGTGCTCTGGTGGACTCTGGCTTTGGTCCCCCTTCCTGCAGTCATGGACAAATTTGTGTTGTCAGAAGGAAGTCAAGATGTAATGAAGCTTGAGTGAAACTAATGTTCCTCCAGTTCAGGTAAATGGGAGTTCTACCATTGACTTCTGTAGGAGCAGCATTGGGCCAGTAACGAGTGCCTTTGACCATTCCATCTAAAAGGTTTACTCTGGTACCCTTTGGATGTTTTCCATTTGTTCTCCACCAAGGGAGTTTTCTCTGAAGCAGGGGTGCCCCTCCCTTCTGTTTTCATTAGGGTTATTTCACACAGAAGTAAGTAGGTATCTGCACTTCTAATACCTACACCCTACAGAACAACTGAGCAGGGAGCCATGGATCTAGTTGTTTCCTTTTTCTTTGCCTCTCCCTAACCCCTCATCCCTGTGGTACATGCAGAAGCTTCAGGGAACTGGTCCCCTGATCTTGACAGAAGAAGAGAAGAGAACACTGATAGCAGAGGGTTACCCTATTCCTACAAAGCTACCCCTGACAAAGGCAGAGGAAAAAGCACTGAAGAAGATCCGCAGGAAAATCAAGAACAAGGTAATTTTAAGATAGCATCTCTGCTGGATGTTTCCCTCCCATGTCTCGTATAAAAATGCTACAACACTTCTACAATAATGATCTATAGTGCTGTAGGGTCTCTTCTATCACTTGCAACATACCGCTTAAGTTACCCATCTAGCCAGTGTGTGTCTGTCTGTCCTGCTACTTTTGTGGCTCATCACCATAGCATCTGAGTAGCAATTAAAGCTAACACAATTATAAATATATTTATTTATGCGTATTCTAGGTGCTAGTGTAGGAGCGGATAAAATATGGTCCGGGAACAGATCCAGCCCACCAAACCTTTCAATCCAGCCCGCCTCCCACCCCGTTAGACCCACAGGCAAGGAGCAGCACCAGGGCTCAGAGTGGCTGGCCGCTCCATCTGCCTCTCTGCTCTGGGGGAGGGTAGAGGAGGGGAAACTTTACCTCCCCCCATCCACAGCATAATCTTTCAGCTCCCATTGGCAGGTTCCAGTCAATGGGAGCTAAGAGATTGTGCTGGAGGCAAGGGCAGCCAATGGAACTGACCAAAAGGAGCTGAACAATTGTGCTGGAGACGAGGAAGCCTCTTTCCCACCCCTACCAACCCCCAGGCACACAGCGCAGAGAACCACATGCAGCAGTCAGCCACTGAGCCCTAGGGCTCCAGCATGTAGGGAGCCTGCCTGATAGTCCTGCTGGGAGGCTGGCTGGGAGCTGCCTAGATAAACACCCACTGGCCGGAGCCTTCCTCTGGCACCCCACCCCCTCGTGCACTCCAACTCCATGGCCCAGGTCACCACCCAAACCCTGTGCACTCTCCTTCCCCCAGGTTACAACTCTCTCCCAGAACCTGCACTCCTCCTACATCCCTCCCCCAGGCCAGAATCCTTTCCTGCACCTATATGCCCTCCTTCACTCAAGCTCCCTCTCAGACCCCACACCTTCTCCTGCACACCAGTCCCCCTATCCTGAGCTCCCTTCTGCACCCAGCCTCCACCCCAGACCCTGCAGCCCCTCCATAGAAAAGTGTGGCCCTAGAGCACTTATAAAATATTTGGAGCCCCCCCCCAATCAAAAATTATTGCCCACTCCTATGCTAGTGGTATATGAAATCATGTCAGCTAACTCCGTTTAAAGAAAGCCATCCCTTTTTTGCCTTGTCTAGACAGAGCCTCTGTGTCCCCTCTACTATGACATAGATGTCCACCCACCATTTTCATGTTTGTAAATCTGCTGTGCATCATGGTCCATATTCTTCAATCAGTATAATTCCAGGGCTTTAAATTAGCTATTTTATGCCAGGACTCTGAAATATCATAAGTACCTTGCTTTTCCTTCAGCCAGGGGAATAGCTGGTGAGAAGGGCAAGCTTTCCAACTTGACCCCCTAAATTATCCTTGCACAGATCTAGTACACTCTCAGATATTTTGTAGGTGTGGATGCATGGGCGCTTGCATAAGTCATGTATTTATCCAGTATTAAAACTGGAACGTGGTGCATTTTATAAACACATGTCCCATTCCTGCCCCTGAAATTTTTCCTCTAAGAAGTATGAGACCAAAAATTAGAACGGGGCATGACTATATAGCTTTTGTTAAGATTATATTTGCACTAGGATGGAGAATTGGCAAGGAAATGCTAATGCTGATTGCCAAAGGGAAAAAATAAATAAAGAAGAGCAGCAAACAGACTTGGATTTAATAATGGCAATGTTCTAAATCAATTTGTTCAGTTACTTGTGGCTTCTTTTTGCTATAAAGATTTTTTTGTGTGTGTTTTTTTCCCATCCCTCTTAGATCTCTGCCCAGGAAAGTAGGAGAAAGAAGAAAGAATACATGGACAGCCTGGAAAAAAAGTAAGCCAGCCTCCTTCCCCTTTCAAATGAACCAATAAAACAGTTGCTGAGATGGGAGGGTTGATCCTGTGTTTCCTGCAGAATGTGTTTCAGTTGCCACCTAGTGGTGGCTAAAGGCAGAACTTCTCTACAGAAAAGAGAACAGGGTGGGTTTGGGTTCTACAGATAAAGTGTATTGTTGGTTAATGTTAGGCAAATATTACTGTGTCAACACCTGGTGCTTTGGTAGTAGGTCTTCTGATGTTAACATAGCATAGAAGCTGCCTAGAAACTGGTTCCTGCTTCAGGAGATTGACTTGTCTCAGAAACCTGAGTGATAGCTGTTTTGCCTTACCTGAAAAGTCCTGCTTTTGTTGATGATATCCTTGTCCCTCAAATCAGTACCTGGAAGCCAGGGATTTTGGCCTGGTTTCAGTGTAATCCACAATCTTTCCCCCTAACCAGCAGCCTGCTGTGCTCTGCTTCGTGTTGTACAGTTTCCTAGCTACTTTTGTGTGGAATCTTCTTGTGAATATGCTAACATAAAAAGGGTCCAAGCTGAATCCTGGTATCACGCTAATAGGTCTAGTTAGTTGGATTGCAAATAAGCCAAGACAAATTAATATGCATCCATACGTTTCAGTATTTGGTATGCCACTTGGCTACTTAGCATGATTTTCATGGTTCGCTCAACAGGCAGTGTCCAGCCCAAACTGAGCTCTGAATGATTAAATTTCTTAAGATTGTGGGGACAGAAGCAGGAGTAGATAAAGTAAGAGGTAGAGAAGCAGCACATTGGTAGCAATTTTCTTTATCAAGACGCTGGAACCCGCCCAACACCTTACTTTCATGGCACCCTTTATCCCACCTCTCCTTGGCCGGGGGGGGGGGGGGGGGAGGGGGGGGGGGGGGGGGGGGG